AACACTGTAGTTAAGGCAGGCTTAGGCCCTCCTCACCTTCCCTGTCTGTGAAATGGGAACCATACACCTGCTTTGGGCTGTTGTGGAAGGAGATAGATGCTCATAAAACACCCACTCCATGCCAGATATGCAGTAGCCACTGAGCTGCATTAATCAGAAAGCAAGTGTGGAAACCCAAGGTGAAAGGATCATGACTTCTCTTGGAGAATGAATCCAGCTGTCATCTGTGCTTTAGTATGATGTCTCATTTAGTCATTTTCTTCTCTTTTTAAATTATAAAAAATACATGCCTATTGTAATGCAACCACCAATATTGAAATATGTAAAGAAAAATTAGTGGAATTTTTTTCTTTTTACTCTTGGAAAGATCTTTATTTATTTAAGATTTCTTTTTTTTTTAATTTAGTTACTTTTCAAGTACAGTTTTCTGTTTATTTCTCCCATCCCAGCCCACCCCTCCCCCACGCACCCCACCTCCTTCCTATTTCCACCCCCCTTAGTTATTGTCCCTGTGTCCCTTATACTTGTTCCTCTAAATCTCTCCCATTTTTTCCACTTAAATTCCCTCCCCTCTCCCCTCTGGTCGCTGTCCCCGTTCTCTATTTCAGTGTATTTGTTTTTATTTTGCTTGCTTGTCTGTTTTGTTGTTTAGCTTCATGTTAAAGGTGAGATCATACGGTATTTGTCTTTCATTCCCTGGCTTATTTCACTCAGCATAATGCTTTCCAGTTCCGTCCATGTTGTTGCAAAGGGTAGTAGTTCCTTCTTTCTCTCCGCTGCATAGAATTCCATTGTGTATATGTACCACAATTTTTTAATTCATTCATTTACTGACGGACACCTAGGTTGCTTCCAGCTCTTGGCTATTGTAAATTGTGCTGCTGTGAACATTGTGGTGCATAGGTTCTTTGAAATTGATGTTTTGGGGTTCTTAGGATATAATCTTAGCAGTGGAATTGCTGGATCAAAAGGCGGGTCAATTTTTATTTTTCTGAGAAAATTCCATACTGTTTTCCATAATGGTTGTACCAGTCTGCAATCCCACCAACAGTGAACTAAGGACCCCTTTTCCCCACATCCTTTCCAACATTTGTTGTTTGTTGCTTTGTTTATGATAGGAAGGAAGGAAGCAAGGAAGCACAGGGGAATGGGGCGGAGGGAGGAAGGAGATGGAACAGAAGGCTATTCGATGGCTGGATAGAGGAGACCATGACCACTAGAACGAAGGTTTGAGGAGCACTGCCAATCCTCACTCTGAAAAATAAAGACCTTTATCTGGGAATTTATTTTTCAGAGTGCGGATTTGCAGTGCTCCTCAAACCTTCCTTCTAGTGGCCTTAGTCTCCTCCATCCAGCCATCGAATAGCCTTCTGTTCCATCTCCTTCCTCCCTCCGCCCCATTCCCCTGTCCTTCCTTGCTTCCTTCCTTCCTCCTTCTCTCCCTCCCTCCTTCCCTGCCTCCCTGCCTGCCTCCCTTCCTTCCAGTGGAATCTTTTTTAAATAATATATTTTATTGATTATGCTATTACAGTTGTCTCATTTCCCTTATTCATTCCCCTCCACCCTGCACACCGCCTCCCACCCACATTCCCCCCCTTTAGTTCATGTCCATGTGTCATAAGTTCTTTAGCTTCTACATTTCCCACACTACTCTTGCCCTCCTCCTGTCTATTTTCTCCCCATCATCTATGCTGCTTATTCTCTGTACCTTCTTCCTGCCTCTCCTCCTCCCACTCCCCTGTTGCTAACCCTCCATGTGATCTCCATTTCTGTGGCTCTGCTCCTGTTTTAGCTGTCCACTTAGTTTGCTTTCGTTTCAGGTGTGGTTGTTAATAACTGTGAGTTTGCTGTCCTTTCACTGTTCATATTTTTTAATCTTCTTTTTCTTAGACAAGTTCATTTAACATTTCATATAATAAGGGCTTGGTGATGATGAACTCCTTGAGCTTGACTGTGGGGGCGACTTTGTCCCCAAGTCCCCCCGTCTGCCACAGATGAAAGTAAACACTACCAACACATGATCTGCTTGTGGAGGAGAGGTGGCCAGTTTCTCCAAGGAAAAAAGGGCCCGGATCAGTGGCCAGTTTCTCAGAGGAAAAAGGCCTTGAGCCCCTTCCTCCAGGGGCTTTTATTGGGTTGTAATACACAGGAATATAGGGTGGCAAAGATCAAACAGTAGATAACATTTCAAAGAAATCTGAGGGCTTAGTCTGAGTCAGAGTGTGTGAGGAAGGGAGTTTGCAGAAACTTTAGGGTTTTCTGCTCGGACCCTTAACATATGAATGAAAGCACTCTTAGCAAAGCAGATTTCATAGGATTTTGAGTAATTCTTTCTTATGCCAGATTTCTCCCCGGGATCCACTCTAGCAAGGCAAGGAGCTGCACCCCTCCCCATCAGGTTGTGAGGCTTAAGTGGATTAGAGCCAGGAAGTGCTTCTCCCAGAGGACATGGGGACCCAGGCTATGTCACATAGCCGGGGGGCAAGGGTCTTTTGCTCGTTCTTTATTGCAGCCCCATGAATTCTTCTGCGATGGCCTCCTAATTAATTGAGTCTGGCTTAGGTTGCCCCTTACTGTGAGGAGACTTACCTGTCTTGGACTTCCAACCATGCTTTGGGGGCAGGGAGGAAACTGAGGCAGAGTTTGCTATCAGAGACAGGCTTTGTCTGCTGTGGCTCACATTCCAGAGGTGGCTCACTCATCCTTAGCCTTAGTGGTTAGTTACAATACCTGAAACGAGGCAGAGCTGTCCACAGCACTTGACCTTATCTGAGAAGCACTTTATCTGCCCTTCCATTCCAAATGAAAGCTTTGCTGGATAAAGCAATCTTGGATGTAGGTCCTTGCCTTTCACGACTTGGAATACTTCTTTCCAGTCCCTTCTTGCCTGCAAGGTTTCTTTTGAGAAACAGCTGACGGTCTGATGGGAACTCCTTTGTAGGTGACTGTCCTTTTATCTCTTGCTGCTTCTAGAATTCTCTCCTTCATTTTAATCTTGGGTAATGTAATTATGGTGTGCCTTGGTGTGTTCCTCCTTGGGTCCAACTTCTTTGGGACTCTCTGAGCTTCCTGGACTTCCTGGAAGTCTATTTCCTTTGCCAGATTGGGGAAGTTCTCCTTTATTATTTGTTCGAATCACTTTTCCACTTGTTGTTCTTCTTCCCCTTGGTACCCCTATAATTCAGATGTTGGAATGTTTAAAGATGTCCTAGAAGTTCCTAAGCCTCTCCTCATTTTTTTGAATTTTTGTTTCTTCATTCTTTTCTCTTTGGTTGTTTATTTCTTCCTTTTGGTCCACTCCATTGATTTGAATCCCAGTTTGCTTTCCATCACTGTTGGTTTCCTGTGCATTTTGGTTCATTTCACTTAGTGTAGCCTTCATTTTTTCATCTAATTTGCGACCAAAATCAACCAGTTCTGTAAGCATCCTGATCACCAGTGTTTTGAACTGTGCATCTGATAGGTTGGCTATCTCTTCGTTGCTTAGAAGTATTGGCTCTGGGGATTTGATTTGTTCTGCTTGAGACATAATTTTTTGGTCTTGATGTGCCTGTTAAGTATGAGGGGCGGAGCCTTAGGTGTTCACCAGGGCTGGGCAACCCAGTAGCTGGTTTGTGACCCTGTATGTGGGGGAAGGGTCAGAGAGGGAACAATGGCGCCTGCTCCGGTCTCTCTTGGATCTGAGTCACCTCTGCTGCTTCCCACAAGCAAACCAGCCTCTCTGGTGTTGGTTCCTGGGTGGGTGGACCTGTGCACACCCTGGGACCCTGCGGATCCTCCAACAAACTCCGCCGTGAGGCCAGGAGTCTGCCCCGGTGAGGCTGGGAGTCTCCCCTGACACCTTTTCAATCAGTGCTGCCCCTCTCTGCCTAGTTCATCTGCATGCTAATGTGTGACCTCAGTCAGCCAACCACCCTGCACACTCTGCTTGTTTCCTCCTCGTGCCCGGGGTCCACTAGCCCCATGCAGCCTGTGCTTCCAGGTCTGGCAGCCATCGCCTTTTTCTGCCATGACCCCTCTCCACAGGCTGCCAGCTCTGCCCCTCTCACCGGTGTGGTTGAATGGTTGTTGGACTTCCTTACAGTTCAATTTTCTGTCTGTTCTGGTTGTGTTTTTGTTTCTAAATCTTTGTTGTCCTTAATTTTGGTTGTGCGAGGAGGTATAGTGTTTCCACCTATACTTCCATCTTAGCCGGAAGTTCCCAGTAGAATCCTTTACATATCACTGTGCAACTTCCTGTTTCTTCTTTTTAACTTTGCAGTGAATCAGTTTCCCAACACCTGGTGATTTTTTTCCACCTAGAAAGAAACCCACAGACAAACCCAGCTTCTGGATCCTTATCTTTGTTGAGAGCCTCTCTTTTGAGATGTTTTTGACTGGTAGCTGGCTCTGTCCAGATACAAAGAAGGAAGGGAGGGAGTAGAAACTCAAAGATCAGCTCCTCCCTAGGTCAAGAGGGTGGGGTTAGCTGCTTCCTCACCACTTAGCAAGTGCAAAAGTAGAAGTCAGCAGACACAGGAAGCCCTCATACTTTGAAGATGTCCTCAAAAATCTAGAAAAGTGGGAAACAAGTTCAGGCACTGTGAGCAGGTGATGCACATGTCTGAGGTCTCAGAGCTTTTGTTCAGTGAGAATGGCTGGTTCCCTGGTTGTTCAGATGAGGCTGAAATGGTGAGGTTCTAAATATTGATCTGTGGTGGTCTGATGTTAGCTTAGCCTAGGAAAGCTGGGAATTGCGTGTTTGAGCTTCATATGGTGCGGTGAGAACTGGAAATAAGATGTCTTTGAAGTAAGCATATATTTGGAAACATTCAGATGTCATGGAGATTGAGGCCCATACCACAGCCTTGGGACTTAATCTGATCATGATGATAATAATAATGATAACAATAATAATATTTAACTGCATGCCAACCAAGCACTGTTCTAAGCATTTTGTATCATTTAGTACTTCTAGCAATCTTTTGAAGTGGTACTCTTGCCATTTTTCCAATTTACAGGTGAAAAGAGTGAAGCACAGAAAACTTTGTTCAAGGTCAGGGCCAATAAATGTCTGAACCAAGATTTGATAGAGAAGGAAACAGGTAGGAACGGCCTCATTTTTGCCCTCAGTCCTGGTTGGAAGTATGTTCAGTTTGAGGTGGAAGCTACTAACAGATAGTTTGTAACTAGAAATTATTTTAATGCATACCAATTTGTAACTCTAAAAGTCATTAAATTTTGCAGTGGGGGAATATAACTGCAAAAGATTGCAGTCTCTTGCCCATCACTTAGCATATTCTCAAATGGGGAGGCAAAAGTTGTTTTGTGAATGGCTCAGACATGACTTGGGGTTGAATGCCAAAGTAAAGGGAACTGGATCTCTTCAAAACAGAGAACTTCTTTCTCCTTTTCCCTGCCTCTTCTCATCTATATGTCCATCCTTTTGAGTCCACAGATCAGTGCAGCAGGTGCTTTGAGTTAGGGAAAAGCATTACCAAAGAAGTTCTTTCCAGCCAAATGTATGTTTTTCTTGAGCACTTTTGTTGATAATGTTAATTTCTAATGCTTATTTGAATATATTGTTAAAATTTTATTGAGAAGAAATTCTGCTTTACTTTGCTTGACTGGCTTATTTTCCATACTCATTCCAGCATTTCCCACATCTTGGGACTGGTTACCCTTGTCCATCTTCTGTGTCAGTATAGAGTGCTAATTTTCTTTCTTAAGGAAGCATGTGGCTGTCACTTTGCCCTTAAGGGGACAGCATCTTACAGGAACCCATCTGCTGCCTTAGTGAGGTCTACCCAGTGTTGAATGGGGTATTCCTCCCAGCTAGGCCGGGACATTTAATAGCAAAGGAGAAGGATTTGTTACGTGTTTCTGTATCAGCGCCCCTACTGTGTGAAGATGACATTTGCTTCTTCAGAAGGCCAGCTAAATCAAGGGGTATTGGAGATGGGGAGGGTAAAGGGAAATACATGACAAGAGTCCAGGGGCCAAGGGACATGCCGAGAAAGAAAGGAAAAGAACATGGTTAGCTGTTTAAATTTACAAATCCAAATATGATCCCTGGCTAGGTAGCTCAGTTGGTTAGAGCATCATCCCAATACTTGAAGGCTACGGGTTTGATCTCCAATCAGGTCACATATAGGAATCAACCAATGAATTTATAAATAAGTGGAACAACAAATTTATGTTTCTCTCTTTCTCTCATATCAATAAAATAAAAATTAAAATCCAAACATGATAGTAATATGTTAAAGTGAAAAATTCCCCCAAAATCTCATGTCCTGATGAGATTTTGGTCAGCAAAATCTCCTCTAGATTTTTTTATTTGACTTCTAAACTGTAATCTCCCTATTGATTTTATTAATATTGACTTGTTACAATTGTGATGGCAAGTGGTTGCGAATTGTTTTCTAGCTTAGAAATGCATTAACATCTGTAGTTGTGGAGGGACACTGTCAAAGGTCATTCTCTGGAGGCTGTCCAGGGTTCCCATATACAGTGCACATGATTTTCTAGGATTCTTATTAAAAGTGCAGGTTATGATGTGTAAGTATGTAGTGGGCCTGGGAGTCTCATTTTCAGCATGCTTCCAAGTGATGCCCTGCTTGAGAGACCCAGGTTTGAGCAGCACAGGAAAGAGTTCTGCCCCTGTGATTCTGTGCTCAGAGAGAGCTGGTGTGACATTTCCAGGCTTATGAATATGGACATGAGCCAGTTGACAGCCCCATGGTCAGAGTCTTGCAGCTGCATCCATAGCTCATTACTGTAGTACCCATGGTTGTAGGCAGCCATTCAGAGACATTGATAATGTATAGTCCTGAAGAATCAAATATCCAATGTCATCCAGGAGCTTTGATGAAGCATTGTAGGAAGACAGGGTCTGTGCTTATGGGAAAGGGCAACTCCAAAGTGGTGCGTCAGTGTAGATGGCACCGTAATGAAACAGAAAGGAACATCGTCCACCAGGAACAGCCACTTCCTTTGGAGTCCAAAAGTCAGTTGTCTCATCAGTGGTATAGAGAGATCTTCTGTATTTGCAAGTGTATAATCTTATTCCCAAATCATTTTTTTGTTGTTTATCTTAATCTGTGTTACAAAAATTTGTTTATGGGGTGATGAAAATGTTCTGAAGTTAGCTTGTGGTGATGGTTAAACAACTCTGAATATGCAAAAACCCTTAAATTATGCACATTAAGAAGGTAAGTTTTATGGCATATGAATTATCCCAATAAAACTGTTTTTTAAAAAAGGAAAAATATATTTAAGCAACCATTGACCTTTAAAATCAAATCCTGGGCAGATTCAGAATCTGGAAGATCCTATCCGAGTCTCCAGAGCTGGCTTTGGAAGCTCACTGCCGCTCTGTCTCTAAAATCAAAGTAGTGATTTTAGATGTGCCAATCAGAAATAAATTTAGTTATCTGCAAAGTATATAAAAAGAGATAGCCCTAAATTTCCTACATCTAAATTACTCTGGGTATGGTCAATTATGAAGTTTTAAGAAAAATATAGAAATCATTTTCCATTTTTTCTGGCTAAACTTTAGGAATAATTCACTTGCAGAGAATATTGAACTGTCTGTCTTCTTTGTCAGATGCCAGAGATGCAGAGCAGTTGAGCAAGAACAAGGTGACCCATATTCTGTCTGTCCACGACAGTGCCAGGCCAATGTTAGAGGTAAGAGAGCCATGTGCTATGGGGTACCTAGGATGGTAGTGAAAGCAGCCATGTTCTCTCTGAGGCCGGTGTGCCCCTGAAGTTGCTGGCTGTATTAGTTTTGGCTTAGGCCAGACTTATGTCCATGCCCTGTCTGTGGAAAGGTAGGAGGAGGGTATTTGGTTTTTCTAACTGTATTCTTATTGCATTGCTAACTTGTCTTTCTTGGCTATTTGCCAAAAAATAAGCTGATGCTGCATTTATTTCCCTCTGGATTTTAAGGACATTTTAAACCCATTTCATTCCTTTCTAAATTATTTCCAGCTTTAGCCGTGGCTGGTATGGCTCAGTAGATTGAGTGCTGGCCTTCAAACCTAAATGTTGCTGGTTCAATTCCCAGTCAGGGCATATGCCTGGGTTGCGGGCCTGGTCCCCAGTTGGGGACATGTGAGAGGCAATGGATTGATGTATCTCTCTCACATTGATGTTTATATCTCTTTCTTTCTCCCTCACTTCCCCTCTCTCTAAAAATAAATTTTAAAAATATTTTTGAAATTATCTCCAGTTTTAGAATACAAAAGAATCCAGGCTGCTCATTTCTTGATTTTTTGTTTTTGTTTTTCATTTAAGCTCAGTTATTTACCATTTATTTACATTTGGGAATGAAAGACAATGGGAGATAAATTGTTCCTGGAGATTTTCCAAGGCTTTTCTGGTACAGAGACTACGGGTGTAAAAGCTGTTGTGTTTTTGATTTTCAATAAAATAGGGTGTATCCACCTCTACACTTATTTCAAAAACATCTTCACTATTATTGTAATAGATGGCTTCAGCTGTTGGCCAGGAGCAAAATCTGTTTGTCCCCTAGCCTTGACAGAGCAGAGACCAAGGTACCTTTTTTTGACAAAACAGTACAGTCATGGTTGTAATGCATATTGAGTTTTTCTATTTTAGGGTGTGGTGTTAGAGAGAATGCAGTGACTTGTTCTGAAGGAAATAATCCTAGTTCACGCTGTTTTCATTTAAATTCATATTATACAAGAATACATAATATATTTTAATTTTAAATCTGTTTTCCTTAGCCATTAGAGCTGCCAGATTGCAGTTAGTGTAAAACAAATGAAGACATGGAATGATAAGTGATTCTATTAGATGTTAATAGCACCAGAGAGCCATAGGTGGTAAGTAAAGCTCAGTTCATTTCCTTGTACTTCCTTGAGCTTGTACTTCCTTCTGGCGTTTTAGCTCATGGCTTTTTGTTAAGGAGCTATAATTTGTGTTGCATCAAGATTTTATTGAAAATCAAAGCAATAATAATAGCACATCATTTTTTGGCATATAACAATATTTTTGAAGATAGCTACTCCATTTTTCATCTATGAATGACATTTTATATTTAAAACATAACCAAGCTATGCCCACGATAAGTTAAACATAAACTGGTCATGATTGATTCCCTCTTAAATCATAACATGAGGCTTGAGGTTTCCTTTATTTTAATAAATGATGTAGATGTCCTTCATGCCCTCACCTTCCAAGCCTGCCTTCCAATGTCATATTGCATTTAGTGGAGCATGTTGTCATTTATGAATATGGCCCTTCAATTTGTTCACAGTGTAACTCCTCTCTAAATACAAGATCTTCAAGTATTAGAAATAAGAAGCTCCTGTCCTTAACTGTCTATCCTCCTCATTTTACACACCAGGAAATAAAGAGCTAGAAAGTAAAACAGTATAACTCAGCATAGAGACCACTGTTTGTGTAAAACCCTCAGAGCTTTGGACAAACTGTGTTCCATCAGTAATATACTACATATTTCTTTTATTCCCTCTATAGCTTAGTCTATAAGGACAAATTATGCCTTCATGAAAGAAAGAAACTCTACCTTTTCTTCATGGGGACGGCTGTTATTTGACATCCTATTGTAGTCTTCTGGTGCTTTTATACCTCAACTTGATAAAAGTACTTTCCAGTGATTTCATATTTATTAGGGTTAGACCACTATCTTAATAACATAGTACAATTTAATATCACCCCTCTTATTGTATTCATCTTTAACTTCACAAGTAATTTATTAATACATTATTATAAAAATTAAAACAATAGCTTCTCTAATAATGGTGGCAAAATGATGCACTAGAAGTTTTTGAACTGACATGTTCACATTAAGTTATTGGAATAGAGGAGACTCACCAGGCATGGACCAGATGTTTCAGACCTTGGTTTAGCCTCTGTCTTGTGCATGTAGGCAGACTTCTGTCTTCAATTTCAAAATCACTTCCAGAAGCCATGGTCTCACCCAGCCAGTGGTAAGTCAGGGTTGTAAGTCAGGTGGTTTGGAGTAAGCAGGGAAATAACAGGTGGATTATATTCTTCAGCAGTTCCATGTTATAGTGGCCCTGATCCCTAGAGGGAAATAAGAGCAGGGGTAAAGGTGAGAGGGCAGATTGTATGCAAGGCTGCTCCCCAACCTGGTGAGGGGCCCTAATAAAGGCTGGAAGGATAGAGAATGAGGGAGAAAAGTTCTGGGACCTGCTTCATTTTCTAAGAGCTTCAGAACTATGTATAGTTTACCTTATGACCCCTAACTCACTCTGGGTGGTCCTAGTTTGGGGCTGGGCTGGAAGATGGAGGGAGTTACTATCTAAAATTGAAAGCTTTCAGTCCTGTCACTTCCATGCAAGTTCTTTGAGTTCTTTGGTTCCATGAAACTATCTATGTATTGAGCAGTATGCTGTAGGTTCTTCTTTGGGTCATTTTCAACAAACATCTGAATGAGTTTTAAAACACTGGGTGCTTAACATCACTTAGCATTCTAAAGATTTTAGAATCTTTAGGTCTGTGTTTATTGTGATGAAAGCTGAGTGAGAGCAGGCAGTCATATTGTTCAGTGTGGTCTCTAAAACAGAGGCCATAGGTCAGGGACTCAGTGAGGCTTCTCAGAGGATAGGCTGTCAGACAGTAGGCCTAGAATATGATGCTTTGCAAAAAATAAGTAAGTTTAGGGAATTTAATACCCCTCTGGAAGATTCATGGTTTTGTTGACAAAATTAAAGTTCTCAAGTTCTGCATTAAAAACACATTTACCAGTCTTTCTGAGCAGTTTATCTATGGAACTATATTCTGCTGAATATGGTCATGGGGATGCAGATTAAGGAGGACCCTGGAAAGGGGCCTACTGCCTCTTGGAGCCTAGGGTAGGTCTCCTGGTTGAATGCTTCTTCAGAGGAATGCTTGTACACTTGGTAAGCTTAGAGGACTAGAGTCAAGGAGATAGCCAAGCCTGATCTTGTTACCAGCTGAAGCTTCCTGAGGATGAATTTTTGTGACATCCTGGTATAGGTAGAAGAGGCAGAATGTAAGGTTTCACATTGTGCCTTTTACATCATCTTGGGTACAATGTTGTAACACCTGGCCAATAGCGATACTATAAAATGCAACCACCATGAAAGTCCTCATGAATGTGCTGGAGACATCTTTAGTTACTATACATTTATTGATTTTATTTAGGAAAGACTTTAAGGAACTTGGCTGATTTTGGTTAGATTACATCTGATTTTCCATTATTTGGGTAATTTTTGGCGGGGTTTTCCAACATGGCGTTAGCAGGGTCTCACACTCTTTCCAGCAACCTGACAGGCAGAAGAATATGAAAGACATGGTTTGGGGGCCTCTAGAGTGAGTGGCTGGGCCTTGCCTCTGGTTATGGAATAGAGCCAGCTTGTCTCTGATGCTCCTTTGATGGATGAGACAAGATTACTTTATCCTCTGAACCAGGAAGTAAGGTGGTCACCTAAGGGAAAGATACCTCAATTATTCTCTCTTCCAATGAATATTTGAGGAGTAGATCTTCCAGAATGAAGACTCATAAAATTGGTAGAAACTTGGGGACCTTCATACTCACTGCAGTCAGCCCTAAGCTGACGTATGAGATTCTAAAGAGCTCTGACTCCATTTTCATGTCAGCTGAACAAGGTCCAAGAGATTACCTGTTTGACTTTATCACTGTGTGCACAAGGAAGGTGAAGTTCAGAGACATGAAGAAGCTTGTTCTCAACCCAGTAGCTGGTGTTCGGCTTTCTAGAAACCTGAATCTTCTCTCTCAGGCCAGAGATGTTTCTCAGAGTGCCTCATTGCCTTGGTCCTCTAATAGAGCAATCCCCAACTGTTTTGGCACCAAGCACTGGTTTTTTGGAAGAAAATTTTTCCACGGACCAGAGGGTACTGGTGTCAGGATAATTCAAGTACAGTACACTCAAGTACTGTACAGCCCAGTTCCTAACAGGCCCGGGCTGGTACTGGTCCACAGCCCAAAGGTTGGGGACTCCTGCTCTGATAGCATGACTGATGCCCCTGACTTTGCTAGCAGTATTAGTAAATGTTGCCATATCAGTGTATGAAAGTGCATGTTTCCCCATACCATCACCAACACAGAGTTTTATTCTTCTCAACTTTTTATTAGCAATGCTTTTGGTTTTTAATTGCCTCAAATGCCTTCCTCACACTGTTGAGTCTCTTGTCCTGACATTTCGTCCCCTTGAAGACAGGGAGTTAATGATTGATTTATTTCTTGAGCTCCTACTACATGCCAGGCCCCAGGGTAGGTGCTGGAGATAACAGAAGTAAATCTCAATATCTGCCCTGGCAAAGCCCTTAGTGTATAAACAACATGGTATTGTGGTTATTTTATAAGTATTAATAGTAATTACATTCAGTGAAAAAAGAGCTCTGTCTCAGGGCAGTTCCCTGGTGCTAGGAATCAAGTGGGAACAGAGATTGTGGAAACTCTGAGAACAAGGTCCCACTTCTGCCATGTAACACTGAAGATATTTGACGTGACCAGGCATTTGACTAGATTTTTTAAAAGGAGTAGAAATTTGGGAAATCTGGTCCCTGGCATTCCAGCCAGGAGAGGCTAGTCCTTGTGGAGCCAGGGACCCACATGACTTCTTGTGGGTCCCTGGCTCCACAAGTTCACACCACTCTCATTCAATCCTCCCAAAACTCTATGAGCCCATCAA